GGCAGTGGCCTTAGAAGCCACAAAAAGATCCACTCAGGAGAGAAACCATATAAATGCATGGAGTGTGGAAAGACCTTTGCTCAAAGTGGTCATCTTATTTCCCATAAGATGATCCACACAGGAGAGAAGCCATATAAATGCATGGAGTGTGGAAAGACCTTTGCTCGAAGAGATTATCTTACTTCTCATAAAATGATCCACACAGGAGAGAAGCCGTATAAATGCATGGAGTGTGGAAAGATGTTTACTGATCGCAGCGGACTTAGAAACCACAAAAAGATCCACTCAGGAGAGAAACCATATAAATGCACGGAGTGTGGAAAGACCTTTGCTCTAAAACATCATCTTATTTCCCATAAGATGATCCACACGGGAGAGAAGCCATTTAAATGCACAGAATGTGGAAAGTCCTTTGTTCAGGACAGTCATCTTAAAATGCACAAAAAGATCCACTCAGGAGAGAAACCATTTAAATGCATGGAGTGTGGAAAGATGTTTACTCGTGGCAGTGGACTTAGAAGACACAAAAAGATCCACACAGTAGAGAAACTATATAAATGCATGGAGAGTGCTCAAAAACATCATCTTATTTCCCATAAGATAATCCACACAGGAGAGAAGCCATTTAAATGCATGGAGTGTGGAAAGACCTTTGCTCAGAGCAGTAGCCTTAAAAGCCACAAAAACCTCCATACAGGAGAGAAACCATTTGAATGCATGGAGTGTGGAAAGACCTTTGCTTGGAGCAAGAGCCTTAGAAGCCACAAAATGATTCACACAGGGAAGAAGCCATATAAATGCATGGAGTGTGGAAAGACGTTTACTTATAGCAGTGGACTTAGAACACACAAAAAGCTCCACACAGGAGAGAAGCTATTTAAATGCATGGACTGTGGAGTGTCCTTTGCTCATAGATATAAACTTATTTCCCATAAGATGATCCACACGAAAGAAGCCATATAAATATATGGAATTTGGAAAGTCCTTTGCTCTTAGATGAAATGTTATTTCCCATTAGAAATTAGGTGAAGGAATATTATTGTTATGTAGGAATTAAATACAAAGCGGTTTGACAATTAGAAACATGTTGATATAATTAACAGAAGTATAGATAAGCTAATAGAAGAAATGAGTTAAAATTATTTTGTTACACTATCATTTTTGTTACTAGTATATATATTGATATTTGTTTTTTTGTAAATGATATGCCCTGACTATATTGTATTCAAAATGGCTATGAATAAAACATATACTCAAATAAAATAAAATGCATGGAATTTGGAAAGAGTTTTGTTCAAAATGGTAATCTTATTTTTCATAAAGGGGTCCACACTTGGGAGAAACTATATAGCAGTAGCAATTCCACTTAGACTTATGTGCCACTTCACAATGCTTTACCCCACTCTCTGAGCAGTTTACAAAGTCACCTTATTGTCCCCAGCAATCTGAAAAAACTATATAGATTCTTAAACAGCTTGAGATGGTGCCCAGATAGCAGATTAACAGAGTTGGGAGGGATCCTGGAAGTCATCTGGTGCAACCCCTGTCAGAGTCCGAGGAAAGGAGGGGAAGCGCAGGCCCAAAATTTACTCCGGGATTTTCATCAGGGGTCGCTTTGCGAGGGGGGGTTCTTCCTGACCCACAGAAGGAAAGGGGGCTTGGGGGGAGGAGACCAGAAGGAGCTGGTTCATCCATATGTTCCGAGTTCCGAGCAAGGGAGACGCGTTTCTCCCAAAGGGCCGATGGGGCCATTTAACCTGAAGGAGATTTGGGGAGGAATTTCAGCCCCTCTTTTATTACTTCACTTCTCCTTGGTGGCTCCGGATTCCTTTTGTGGCACAACTCGGGAACGATGGGAGGGTAGAGCAGGAGCCTCTGGAGGGTCATCATATCCTCCCTCTCTCCCTCCTTCCCTCCCTCCTCCGATTTCACCTTCCTTCCCTTAATCCTGCATATTATGGCTCGTTATTGTTCATATTCATTAAAGAATGCTCTGTCGCTTAGAAGCTCTCAACAAAAGTAACTGCAGCTGTTCTTTGTGGCTGAAGCTGTCCTGGGCTGTCATTTCTCTCTCTCTCCCTCTCTCCCTCTATTCTACCGTCCCTCTCACTCACTCTCTCTCTTCACCCCCCAGGATCCTTGGGAAAGGAGGGGCACCTATTCCCCATCCCTGCCTTTAATAATCAGGACTTTGTGTCATGTGACATACATTAATTCTGCTTCTTTTTTCCTTCCTCCTATTTGAAGTGCTGCACTGTGGAGATCAGAGATCCTGAGGGAAAGAAGAACCCATCAAATCCCCCTCAGGAGCTATTTTTCAGGAAGAACCCTTGGGAAGATCCAAGTCAGGACACTTCAGGAGGTAATTGAAAATCCTCTGATTACCCATTTGTCTTCCCTCTCTCTTCTCCCCTTTAGAATACCTCCTTTTATTTTGTTAATTATGCATTTTGAAGTTATTTATTCCTTACAGAGAAACAAAGAATGAAGCTTTCTGGTTTTTATGAGGGAGATCAAACAGCAGTTGAAGCTCCAAATCAAGTAAGAAAGGGAAAAGAGATTATATTTGTATTCTCCCTTCAGGAAGTGAAGTGGGTGTGCAGAGGGCTCTCTCCTTCTGTTCCCGCCCCCCTTGTTTAGCCTGCATTATTTTTGTGTTCTTCCACAACCTGGAGTGCAAAATAGCAGGTTCAAGTTGCTGTCGGCCAGCATAGCTCCCTCTGGTTATCTTGTTCTGCTAGATACAACTTTGAGTTTACAAGAAGCAATTTTTAAAAAGTCCTTCCAGAAATAAGAATAAATGTATCACAGTGACAGGAACTGCTAGAGACGCTTTTGGGGGGAAATTCTTTGACTCGGAATTGTGCAAGGCTAATAAAAAACACTGGCATTCCCACATTACCATTTTTTAAAAAGCCTAATTTATAACCTGTAGTTCAAAAATAAATAAATTGTATTAAAATATAAAGCAGACTATTAAAATCCAAAGGGAGAGGCCATTTTGAGCATCTTATGGGAAGTAAGATGACATCTTTTGAGCATTTTGTTTTTGGCCTCCCAAACCCTCCGTGTCCCATTTTTACCTACCCTGGCTCCCAGAAGCAGTCTGCAGGCCAAAAATGGTCCTGCTTCCAGCCTCCGGAGGCTTCCCCAGGTCCCGTTTTTGCCCTTCCTGGCACCAGGGAGGCTGAAAACAGGATGCACAGAGAGTTTGGGAGATCAAAAACAGGCCAGTTTTTGGCATGCAGGGTGCTTCTGGACGGCAAGGAGGGCAAAAATGAGACTCACAGAGCCCCAAAACAATTTTTTTTCTTTTCCTTCTCTAAACCTAGGTGTGTCTTATAGTCTGAAAAATATAGTACCTTGTGATGAAGTGGCAAGCTGTCCATTCCTTTGCCTACTTCGGTGCATTTTCAGACAAAAGAGGCCTAAAGTAGTGAGAGGTATGTGAGATCAGTAGTGGGAAATCTAGCACTATTGATCTCATGTGATCTTGCACTACAGTGCTTTAGGCTTCTGTTCTCTTCTAACCAAGGCCTGCATGAGATCCAGGGCAAAATACTTTTCAAACAGAGGGAGCCCTTCTTCTTTTTCAAAGACTTTTGCCCTGGATCTTGTGCATTCATCAGTTCTTAAAAGAACACAGGCCTAAAGTACTGCAGTGCGAGATCATGCGAGATTAATAGCCTGAGATCTTGTACTATGGGTCTCATGTGATCTCACACTAAAATACTTTAGGCCTCCATTCTCTGAGAACCAGCGCCTGTACTAGATCCAGCCAAAAACCCCTTTCAAGCTGATGAGACTTGGGGCATTGAAATAGCCATTCTTGAAGCATCCCAACCTTTCCAGCCTCAGCACAAAGACATTTATAAGGCAATGAGAGGCTTCAGCAAGGGATATATCTCCAAAGTCTCATCACTGAGATTGAGGAACAGACTGAGTGGGGGTCCTGCCTGCCAGACAGACTCCGTGGAGCAGCTTCTCCAAGTTACACTGGGGAAGAAGGAGCTTTTTGCAAAATTGTTTCATTCCTCACAGGTCTCTACTGAAATTAAGCCACCTCAATAAATCTTAAGTATTCTCCTAATTCCTCCTTGGATGTTTCCCCTGATTATTCCTTAACTCAAAACTGACTAGTGGATGAGATTTGCATATATAGATCATTGTAAAGAGAAAGATCTTTTCTAGACATTTTCAAAGCTTTCATGACTCATGAATATAGAAAACATCATGTCTATCACAGTTTCATCTTTTTCTCCAAACTTGTTACCATTTCCCTTTTGCTTTGAAGGTAATAATGGGCAGGAGAATCAAGATTCCTGTGAACTGTTCCAAGTGATCAATGCTAAAGATGGAATGGAGAAGTTTGGAATTCAAATGGAATTCAAAAGCCATGAGAGAAACCAGTCAAAGAATTGGAATCAGGAAAGCTCATCTTCCACTGATGCTCCAATGCAAGGCTTTCTTGCCCAAGAAGAGAAAATAAGGAAAAAATATACTGGAAAAAGTGTGAAGCTAATCAAAGCTGAAGTACAAGTAAATGAACACTATTTAACCCAAAACAAAGGAGAAGATACTATAAAAAGACACAATGGACAAAATTACAATGGGACATTTATTCTTTCTCTTGGAAATAACTTTCTTACATCTCAAAAAGTGATTGACACAAAAGAGAAGCCTTATAAATGTTTGGAATATGGAAAATGTTTTAGAACAAGCAGGCAACTTACTATCCATGAAGGGATCCACACGTGGGAGAAGCCATATAAATGCATGGAGTATGGAAAGACTTTTGCTTATAGTAGTGACCTTAGTAGGCACAAAAAGATCCACTCAGGAGAGAAACCATATCAATGCATGGAATGTGGAAAGACCTTTGCTCTTATATGCCTACTTAGTAGGCATATAAGGATCCACACGGGGGAGAAGCCTTTTAAGTGTGGAAAGACCTTTGCTTGAAAATGTAATCTTATTTCCCATAAGATAATCCACACAAGGGAGAAACTGTATAAATTAATGGAGCATGGAAAGACCTTTGCTTATAGTACTGCTACACTGCTGAGAAATCACCTCAATACTCAACAGAGGTATTCGTCCTCCCAAATGCACTGACTGCGACATGGCCTTTGTGACAAGTGGAGAGTTGGTTCGACATCGTCGCTACAAATATACCCATGAGTAGCCATTCAAGTGTTCCATGTGTGACTACGCCAGCGTGCAGGTTTGCAAGTTGAAACGCCACATTCGTTCTCACACTGGGGAACGCCCATTCCAATGTAGCTTGTGCAGCTACGCCAGCAGAGACACTTACTAGTTGAAGAGGCACATGAGGACCCATTCTGATGAGAAGCCCTACGAGTGTTACATTTGCCATGCTCGCTTTACCCAGAGTGGGACCATGAAGATGCACATCCTGCAGAAGCACACGGAAAACGTGGCCAAGTTCCACTGTCCCCACTGTGACACAGTGAATGCACAAAAGAGCGAGTTAGGTGTCCATTTGCGGAAGCAGCATTCCTACATTGACCAGGGTAAGAAGTGTCGTTACTGCGACGCCGTGTTCCATGAGCGATACACACTCATCCAGCATCAGAAGTCTCACAAAAATGAGAAGCGCTTCAAATGCAACCAGTGTGACTATTCGTGCTGACAGGAACGGCACATGATCATGCACAAGCGAACCCACACTGGAGAAAAGCCTTGTGCCTGCAGCCATTGTGACAAAACCTTCCGCCAGAAGCAGCTGCTTGACATGCACTTCAAGCGCTACCATGATCCCAACTTTGTCCCAGCTGCCTTCGTCTGCTCTAAGTGTGGCAAAACATTCACACACTGCAACACAATGGTCAGACATGTAGATAATTGTTTAGGGCTTGATGGGGTTGGAGGAGAGAATGGAGGGAAGCCCAAGAAGGGAAAATGTGGGCAAAAGAGAAAGATACGCTCCAAGAAAGAGGATTCTTCTGACAGCAAAGAAAATGCTGAACCAGAATTGGATTAGAATGAGGAGAAAGAAGAAACAGCGGTTGAAGTTGAAGCTGAGCCAGAAGTAGAACCTGTGGCCCCCCCAACTCCTCTACTAGCCAAGTAATGGCCTTAGTGGCCACAAAAATATCTAGTTAGGAGAGAAAACACCTAAATGTATGGAATGTGGAAAGACCTTTGCTCAAAGCAGTACACTTACTTCCCATGAATGGATCCACATAGGGGAGAAACCATATAAATGCTTAGTGTGTGGAAAGACCTTTACTAATAGCAGTACACTTACTTCCCATGAAAGGATCCACATGGAAGTAGCCATATAAATGCATGGAATGTGGGAAGAGTTTTTCTCAGAAAGGTCATCTTCTCATAAAAGGATCCATGCTTGGGAGAAACTATATAGCAATAGCAATTCCACTTAGACTTATATACCACTCCACAATACTTTACCACACACTCTTGAGCAGTTTACAAAGTCAGGTTACTATCCCCAGCAATCTGGATCCCTATTTATCATCCTCAGAAGGATGAAAGACTGAATCAACCATGAGCTGGTCAGGATTAAACTTCTGACTGTGGGCAATTAGCCTGTAGTACTGCATTCTAACCACTGACCCACTATGGCTCTATAGATTTTTGTGTGTATGCATATTGTGCCTTTCTGATCGAAATGAGACAAGGTTGAATCCCAAAAAAATGAAACTTAATGTGGAGAAAAGTAAGATTTTATACCTGGACAGAAAAAACATTACATGAAATCTGCTGTCAGGGTTCCAACTGATGCCCTAATTAAATAATGAGCCTGGAGCCAAGCTTCAAAAGAAATCCAGTTATTTATTAGAAGGTTCATGTCAGCACATTCCAAGTGAAGCCAACTTTGATCCCTGTAATTTACATTCCAACTCTGGTTTCCCCCTCTCCCCAAGGTGTGTCATCAGCCACATTCTCCAAAGAAGCAATTTCATGGGCTGTAGAGATCGCTCCGGCCACTGTGGGTAACCATGACATATGGCACAAGACATATAGCTGCAATTTGCTTTTGCTTTAACTGACATGCTGTCTCGTGGCAGCTGCAGTGTTCGTTTTTCAACCCCTTGTCTATGGCAACTCGAGAGCAGGCCAGGGATGCTTTGTGAGTTGACAGCTGGCTCAAAATAGCAACTTTGAGAGGGACCTTGGGAGTCTGTGGTGGTCTGGCACTTGAAATGAGATGCAGGGAAACGTCTGAGCAAATGCCAGCTCTGAGCGAACTCAGGCAGCAGTATTTATTGAAGATTCAGAAAACAAATGACCTCGACAAGATAATAACATACAGGCATAGAAAGTCCCGCTGACGAAAGTCCTTGCTGTATACCTATAATTATCACTAATTTCCCTGTTCCTTCTAAGCCTGCAGATAACAGGATGAGACGCTCCTGCGTAAAAGTACTCCTACTCCCACCAGGAATGCCTGCATATCCTTATCTCTATGGCTGTACAAAGGACTTACAGAAAATGATTAATAACATATGTTACCACATTCCCTCCTTTTTTATTTATTCAAAGATAGGGGGTGTTTTAGTGGCATAGTACACAGTTCCCTCGCGACCTGCTCTCATATGCCGAAAAGCTGAGGTACACATTTGTAATAGATTAGGAATACATTGAATAGAACAACATAACATAATAAGTATAGCAACAATTATTACAACTGATTGAAGCAATAAACGTAACCATGAGCTGTCAGGAAGCCAATCCCATAGCAAAGCCCAAAGTGACTTATTGAAGCCATCTTTCCCTGCTTCGTGTTCAGCTATGCGGTCTTCCATATCATGAACAGTTCTTGTAATGTTAGGCTCATAATTATGTATAAAAACACAACAGTGTGAATGAATTAAGGCACACACTCCTCCTTTGGCAGCTAACATTATGTCTAAAGCATAACGATTTTGTAAAGTAACTTGACGAATTTCAGACACTTCTTCATTTAACATCTTAATGCTTCTGATAGTATCATTAAACATAGCAACAGTAAAATTATTTAAAATATGAATATCTTTATAGTTCATAGCTATTCCCAAAGGTGGGATTGCTGCCCTAGAAATCTGAGTCCACAAATTACCACCCACAGTCAGGCCAGAATCAACTTCTCGGCGGTTACGAATACGCATCCCAATCGGTAAACCCTCCAATTTATAGATGACAGGAATTACAAATCCCATAGTACATACTCCAGGCCAATCCTTTGGCCACTGTTGATAGGCAGCGTCCCCACATAACAACCATAACCCATCCGGAAGAGGAAAGTATTTTAAATGCTTATGATAGGTATTGTCGGAGGCCTCACTTTCCCAATTCCACATTAGCCACATCCAAGTACAGAGAACGTATGCTCCGTGTTGAATATCCGTTCTGCTCGTAACTGTCTGATTAATGCAACAATCCAATTTAGTCCTTAACGCTTTGTCCAAGGAGGATGATGTCTGAATCATCCCATTACATCCATCCACCGTATTATTCCTGGCAACACAAGACATACATCCCCCCTGCAAAGGAATCACCTTCTGACAGAGCGTAGTATTTCCTAGCAAAATAGATTGAGTCCCTACAGGGGGGCGGTAATAACAAACTGATGCTTTGGTAGTGAAAGTTACCTTTGTTGTGAACAATGTTTGATCCCACTTTTCAGGGTCTGGGCCCCAGTAAAGCCAATGATTAAAATCATTATAAGTACTTAATTTAGTACTGGTTCGCTCATTCAAAGGAACACCATGTAACAAAACTCCACCTTTCCCAGACCCAGGTACATGCATACAAAGCCAACAATTAGTAACATTTAAACCCTTAGCTGCAATCCGAATGTCCTTGATATAGGAATTTTCTTTCCATAAATTATCTCCAAGGTCTCTAGTTTCTGAGATAATAACAGCTCTTCGCTTCCGTATTAGAGTCCGTGGAGGCATAAGACGAATGGAAAGAGAGTCTGTATAAGGTAATTTAGGCAACTCCAATTGACACCGATATTGTCCATAATCTGAAACAGAAATATTAAACAGGATCAGAGTTGTTGCACAGGCTGAAGATATAATATCCTTACCAGGTCCCGAGTAAAGAATGTCCTGATCCTTATGCCAGGACCAATATGCTGGAAAAATCAAAGGATGCCGCTGTTTGCAGAAGCAGTCATCTTTTCCCAGCCTTCGCGCCTGAACTGCTGGCATCAAGAGAATCAGGAACCACAGAAACGCTATCCTGAGAATCAGGAACCACAGGAACGCCATCCTGCTCCTCCGAAACCTCCTTCACCGGTGCCTGCGAATGATCAGGCCGAACACACCGACCAGGAACCCAACGAATTTGACCAAGATGTTCGACTGCTGCATAACCATGTCCCCACGTAATCAGCTCTGCAGGAACCCATGCCGGATCCGGAAGGAACCGCACCAACACCCGAGGCATGAGTTTTAGAGCCATCAGTGAAAACCGTGATGGCTTGGAGTGTGAGGGAGGTGAAGCCATTCGATGATGTATAGCTTTTTTGTCTTGGGATCAATTTGGAAAAGAATGGCTGGGAAAAGGGCTGGTGTGGGCAAGACTGTGGTGGACTGACAATTGAAAAAAATGGGAGACGCAGGGAAGACGTCTGAGCAACTGCCAGCCCCGAGAGCCCTCGGGTAGCAGTATTTATTAAGAAAATGCAAATACAAAATCAAAACAATGACTTCAACATTAGCTCAGCAACATTATCTAGCTAGGCCTCAGCGAAGGTGATAGTTCCCGTGAGAAAGCAGGGCACCAAAGGTCTCATGGGAATGGCTCGGATAGGTACTGTGAACTCCCACGCACATTCCTGGTCTCTGAGCTTAGCAGACCATAACAGGATCAAACTCTCATCATAAAGACACTACTGCCCTCATGAGGAGCGTTTGTGATACCCCCAGATCTTACAAAGCTGTACAAGAACTTGCAGAATATGA